CAGAACATGAACCAGACTGCTGACTTTGAATAGTGTTCATTAACTAATTGATCTCTTACCTAAAGTTTTTCTGCAGGCTTCTGATCAAGAGGGAGCAAGTCTCTGGTAAAGCATCTTTCCTTATGTTGCAGAAAATAAAAAGTAACTGTTGCAAAGAAGATAGAATTAGGAGAGGAAAGATTTTCCCAGTTTCACGTAACAAGTATGTTTCCAAAAAACTGAGAGTGTCAACTTAATACATATCAGGTCATGGTACCTGGTGGATAGTGTCACGGAAGGCAAACTGCTCTTTCACATGTACCTGTTACAGCTTTACAATGTATTCATGCACTAGAAAAAGTATTTAGCACCCACATGATGTGGAAAATAAGAACGGTGACACATATGTCAGTGAGTCACAAATAATACCGGAGGAGGTTTTATTTGAACTAGGCCAATTGGGAAGTGCTAACCCACATAGAAGGAACCTTCCCTGACTGCACAGCATTACCTTAATTGTCACAGAGACTGCAGCCTTCAGCAGCAGCACAAGTAAACACTCCCAAGAGAGAAGAATAGCACTGAATGCAAAATACTGTGCAGGGTGGTCCAGCCATCCTACCCCCACAGGTCACACCCTGCAAAAGCAAATTCACTGTGTCCTGTACACATGCATCTGCTGTTTAAACGTTGTCATGTATCACAAAACATTCCAGCAGTCTTTAAACAACAAGCTGAAAGCAATGTGAGTGTTTACTATTTCTGGATTCAGTTCACATGTCCTTCTGTTTGGCAGAACTGTAAGTCCTTCTCTTACTCAGAAGTAGTTTCATGAAAGAAAATAATCATCATCATGATGTATAAATAAGACTGCCATAGTCTCACCTTCCCACAGTCACAGACTAGGACATGGAGAGGAAGAAAAAATAATAAATCCCTACACAAACATAACTATATTCTACAGCAGTTTTAAGTTTAAGTAATTATTTACTAATTCCAATATATTGCAGAAAAGTGAACAGGGCAACAAGGGTTTAATTCTTTAGAAGGCTTCAGTTTTTCTAATCTTGGGTTGGACATATTCTTGCATTACATCAGCAATCCCATATTGACAAATACACTCCCCAATTACTTATTATTATAAGTAATAAGCTTGTCAGTAATTGCACAGACAAGAGACTGAAGAAATAAAGTTGTGCTGTATTGCACCCCAGCACTTAAGTTAGGCATTAATTCCAACAAGTACAGACCAGATGAAAGTCATCCCAGAGTTGTGACAGAAAGTGTTTTCCTTATTGCTCTGGTCACCTCTGCAGAGCTTCCTTGAATCTTAGTCTTTGTGAGAGCCTGATCTAAAGATAAATGCATTTAACAGTTCTTCCACTGATTGCAGGAATATTGCCATGTGTTTCCCAACTTTGTACTTTAAGTGTTGTTTACCTGCCTTAATGAAAGGAACCTGATCTACAATGAAACCAACAATAAACCTGTAAGAGTGGCACAGTATATATATGTGTATATATATATAGTGGCTACTGAAAACACCAGTTGCAAGCTAATTAAGCTAAGCTAATAAGCTGTCGCTATTTGCATGACAGTTTGGAAGTGTAATAAGCCATAAGAACCAACCTCAGTATCTATCTGTGAAAAACGGTTTTACTACTGTCTAGAATGCCAATCTCTATGCTATATAAAATGTCTATCAGGAAACCTAGGAGTCAAGTAACAGAACTATGAGGGAGAAAGAAATCCTGCAGATCAAGCCACTCATGCTTTCCAGTGCCAGAAGCAGCTGAGCACTATCCACTGGAGCGTGAGGAGTAAGGGAGGTGCTGCCTGCAGCACTGCAGAGCTGCACACGGACATGCAGCACACACACACCCCCAGCACTGCAGATCAGCACACACAGAATGCAGACACAGCCTCCTCACACTATCTGAGGACAGATACTGCAGAAACCTGCACCTTTTGCTTTTTTTAGATTGCAGAATACAAAGCTAATTTAATGCTGGAACACCAGTGTTATTTTTAGATGAAGAAAATTATCATGCTGATAAGAGGGAAGGAATTATTTTCTCAGGGCACTAAAGACCGCTTTCCCTGAATTCTCTCTCCTTTAGTGGGTAAAAAGGCAGATGAGGGAGAGATCTTTCTGAAAGGTAATTAAAAAAAACTTAGATGCGAGTTTCAGTCAACCAAACTGGGCTAATTTTAAGATGTTTTTACATCCTACATTTTCCCCCCTCTCCCCACCTCCTCTTCTTTGATGTCTTTCTTATTCTCTTACCTCGGCTCCATCTTAAGCATGTCACACCTTTCAACAAATCTCTCTAAATCACACACACACAAAAATCACAGGATAGGTCTTTTTTTTCCTTCCCTTTCTTTTGGAGAACTTATGCTGGGAAAGTTGAAACCACACCAAAATGGCTTGACTAAACCAGGAGTGAATAAGTCAGACACACAGTCAGAATCACGCTCTTCCACTGCAGTGAGCTCATGGGTGTGTCAGATCACTGCAACTTCAAGTGGTATGCTTGGATATCACTTGGGCTTCAAGTCCAACATTACTGAGATAATTAAATTAATTCTTCTTCACCATCTACACTTACTTTGGAGAAGATATAAACATGAAAAAAGAGGAGAAAAAAGAAAAGCTCTGTATTAAGTGGCAAGAGCTATCCTGGGGATTCTGAGGATGCTACTGGTACCCCTTTTTGTGGTAGCATGGGCTACCATGCCAAGATTGAAGGCTCAGTCCCCAGCTGAAACTGGTCTTCCTAGTTTTTAAGCCTTCAGTTCTGTTGGAGGCCTTGTAGTCTCTGCAGTGGAGATACTAGGTATCATTTATCCATACCGGCAAGTCACTTTATCTGGGCAGTTACCTCTGTCATTTGAGCAGATACCAAAGTGCACGGGCAGGGGGATGGGCAAGGGAAAAAGTGAGAGTTAAAGTCCACAATCAACAGGAACTATTTTTTTATCAGTAAAAAAATTAAACAGCCCACTAGATACAGGTAAGACCTATGTTCTTCTCAGGCCCTGTCTCAGCCATATGACAGTAAGGCAGGAGAGGAAAAGAACTTCGTCCTACATCCAGTATCTTTCCCATCTTTCTGCAAATGGAAAATCTTTTTATCTCAGCTAGAGTTTCACTGAAACCTGTAACTCAATGTGTTTAAAGTTGCAGGTGTCAGGAAACTTCATATTATGCACTGCCTGCATTTTTTCAGACTTTTCAGGAAGTAAACAAGCCCAAAGGAAAATAAAAAGTCTGACAATTTTCCAGCACACTGAGGCACCAGATAAGTGCATCTGTGATCCAAATACTACACAGGGTGAGGGGGAGAGAAGGGAAAGGTGTGTAAAATGGTATTACACTGCAGGGCAAGGTTAAGAACCTGCTTTCCCAGATAATGACTTGGGACAGGGAAACCCTCATCCTTTCAGGTGGATGGCCATCAAGTTATATGCTTCTACATATAACTTTCAATACTTTCAATATATTTTGCTTTCCTTGATTACTGAAGATTAATTACAATATACCCATATGCTTAATGCAGAACATTTGCATATGCATAGTGCAAAATTTTTGTCTAATTACAAGATTTTGTAATGACAGTTACCCAGACAGACAAAACTGCTTCACTCACCATAAAGACAGCATGAAAGCTTAATCCTCACAAAAGCAGGGTTTGATAAAACTCCCGATCTTAATAAAGGTTGTTCCCAGTGGATTACACGGATCCACTATAATTTTGCAAAAGCTCTCTCTCCTGCAACATTACCTCAGAGCAATGTATCATTCATTGTCATTTTGCTTTTTAATGGCATTTAGCTACAGGTACCGCTGCTATTTGAAGCATCCGGCAAAAGAAAAATGCCCTTATGTTTATACTGATGATACAAACATCAGTCAAAAAATTCAGCCAAGCAGAAACTCATGAGCTAGGCCTAAACACTATCCACTGAACATGACAAGAAAGTGCTTAGATTACTGAAGTACTGACATTATTTGCTTAAGAAGCAAATATCCAAAATCAGCACTTCCTAAGACCAGAAGTACATCTCCAGAGCAAAGACACTTCCCAGGCTCCCAGTACTGAGAGGTGCCACTTCTATACGAAGTGAAATTGCGCCTTCTCTGACCAGTAACTGACATCATTGCTCTTTACACTGTATCATTACATAAAAGGAGACTTAATACAAATGGCAGGACATAAAATCGTTTCAACAGACTGAAATAGACTAAAGCAACACTGGGAAGCTAATATTTGGGCCGGCCAGGACAAGCACTGCAGCGCTGCGGCAGTGCGCTGCGGCTGTGTCGGTTCAACCGCTGGCCATCACCGAGGCACCGCTCCCGGCCCGACCTCTCCCCGCTGCACGGGGACACGAGGGCGCAGACCCTGCGCTCTAGTGAGAACCCGACTACAGCGACAGCGGCGGCTCGGTGACACCGAGACCGCCTTCAGCTCAGCCTCAGAGCTGAATCCTTGCCCTGCTGCCAAGCACCGTCGCGCCCCTGCAGCACCCTGGATGGATGAGGCGTGTTTCCGTGATGATGGCCCCTTCCAGGACAGCTTACCGACCCACTCGGGGTAACAAACACATCCCAGGGCGCAGGTATCACCAGACAGCTACCTCTCCAGCACTGGCTTTTGCCACAACCGGTTTTCATCCAGCAGAGGTGGTTAGGGAAGGAAGAGTAAGGACATCAGAGAGAAGAGGGAGCTACAGATGTCAGTGGATAAGCTGCAGGAGCTCCCTCCCCCGGGGCTTTCCCTTCCCCTCCCGGCCCACGGCAGCGACCAGATCCCCGTGCGCGGCGCGGAGCGGGAGGCGAGGGAGCGGGCGAGGGGCGGCAGGCACGGCGGGGCTGCGGCCGGCAGGAGCCCGCTCCGGGCGGTGCCGGCGCGGCGGCAAGGGGGAGGCGAGCATGCGATCAGCGCGCTGCGGCGCGGGGGGAGCGCGGCGCCCCGGGGACGGCTCCCCCCGCTCCTCCGCGGCCCCCGACCTACCCAGCAGCACGCAGAGCACGTCCAGCGCCACGAAGGGCAGCCGCGTCCTGTCAAACATGCTGGCGGCGCCCGGCGGCAGGCGCGGTGACAGGCTCGGCCCGAGGGGCGGGAGCGCGGCGGAGGCGGCAGGGAGGGGCTCCAGGCGAGACGCTCCGAGGGAACGGCCCCCCCGCGCTCCGGGCACCGCCGAGCAGCCGCCGCCGCCCGCACTGCGCTACTGCCGCCGCCGCGGCCCCCGCGCGCCTTTAAGGCCGGGCACGGGCGGCGGGGCAGGGCGGGAAGGGCGGGCGGCGGCGGCGCCTCGGGCCGCCCTCAGCGACGCCCCGCCCGCCGCCGCCGCG